GATCACCACTTACAGATATAGGTTCTTCCTATCAAAATCCTAAAGCCCTAAGGTTGAAGAGAATGTATTTAGCTCAAATAGGCAAAGGAATTAAAAGGGCATGTCATAGCAAGTGATGAAAATCAGTATTTTATAAACTAGAAATTTTTCTTCACTCTTTATTTAAAATTCTCTCCCCAATCCCAGTCTATTGGAGAAGGTTATTTTACTTTCACCCTAGTAATCCCCCTTGGTACCCTGGATACATTCTGGGATGCGCGCATCCCTTCGGCTGCCGAAACAACAAAGTCCGTAGATGCTCAAGTCTCATACAAAATGGAGTAGCATTTATTTGCATACAATCTATGTGCTTCCTACTGTACATTTTCTTTACTTAGTTTTACTTGAGAAGCGCAGGAACAGTGAGATCTTCCGTTCGCTGCTTTATTCCCCAAATGCCCACAACAGCTGTGGTTGGGCCACACTGAATCCAGGAACCAGATCCCCAAGCTGGGTTTCCCACACAGTGGCAGGACTCAAGCACCTCTGCAGTCACCTACTGTCCCATATAGACACACACACTTCATAATTTGCAGTATTTTTTTTACATAAATGCTATGTCAAAAGTTGTTACATTTTTTTTTTACATAAATGCTATGTCAAAAGTTGTTACATTTCACCTTTTCACTGAATGAGGCAAAGAGAACAAGTCTATTATGTTCTACAGAGATGAGTTTTTCCCTCTGAATTATATTTTCAGTCTGTAGGAATCCACATAAGCAGAACCTATGATAGGTAGGGCCAACTACAAATGTAATACTATATTATTTTTGGCTTGTAGAACCCCCAATTCACTGATATTTGTTCTCTGTGCCTTTAATAGAGGTGTTAACAAATTTGCCCAGGTAAACTGCTTTATCCAAAGCCCTCTTTTTTAAAGCTTTCAAATTTCTCCATAAGAGGAATTTTATTGATGGCTCCAGTTTATTTCCTACCAAAAAATTAAATAAACAATAACCTTATGATTTTATCGTCTTCATACAAAGCGGAGGATGAAGATTAGAACTGGATCACTTGGTCCTTTCCTTTCTCACCTCCTCCCAGTTCAACATGTTTCCATGTTTTAATAGCCACCATCCTTGGAGCTGCAGTTGGGCTCTACAAACTGTAGCCTCAGCACAATCTTCTTTGTAGTTTTAGTCTTTTTCTGGAAAATTGGCTTAGTCGCTCTGTCATGGCCACTCTGCTTCCTACCATAACACCATTTCCTTGGACATAGAGGGAGTCTTTGTCCTTCTTACACTGTGTTTCTTTAGTGGGGCTGGAGCTTGCCAGACTTCTTGCAGAAGGTGTGGTGCACTTGACGAATGTTCAACATGCCTGCAGAGCACCATAGGCATGAAAAGCCAAAGCGATCTTTAAAAGTCCTATCTAAATGAAGGCCAAGGTCCTGGCACAGTAGCCTAGTGGTTCAAGTCCTTGCCTTGCACGCACCAGGATCCCATATGGGCAGGAGTTCATATCCTAGCTGCTCTATTCCCCTTCCAGCTCCCTGCTTGTGGCCTGGGACAGCAGTTGAGGACACCCCTTTTTTAAAAAAAACAATCTAAATCATTTAAGGACCCTGCATCTGCGTGGGAGAACTGGAGGAAGCTCTTGGCTCTTGGCTTCAGGTTTGCTCAGCTTCAGATTGGCTCAGCCCCGCCTGTTGCAACAACCTGGGAAGTGAACCAGCAGATAGAGATTCTTTCTCTCTGTATCTCCTTCTCCCTGAAAAGTCTGACTTTTCAATAAACAATATATAAATAAGACCAAAACAAATACAGAAAACCAGAGCCTAGGAAGCACTAACTCTTAGCAGGCATAAATGATCAACTAAGGAGTAGCTGATACAACTCTTAAAAACCCAAGAGTACATAAATGCTTTTGTAGCCGCCATTTTTAATCAATATCATACCTGATTATATTGGATGATACTGTAATTCCTTTATACTCAAATTCCACCGATTCTTAGAAATCTGCACAAAAGCAATTTTGTGAAACAAAAGCAAACCCAAACTTCTTAGAAAGATAATTTGTCTTTCATTAAAAAAATGTTTCTCTATTTTATCAACTATTTCATCAGTAAGATGAATGAAAAATTTCTTTATACCATTAAATCTTTCTTTAAAAAGATTTATTTATTTTTGGGACCAGCATGATGGCTCAGTGGCTAAATCTTTGCCTTACATGTGCCAGGATCCCATACGGTATCAGTTCAGGTCATGGCTGCTACACTTCCCCATCCAACTCCTTCTTGTGGCATGGGAAGGCACTAGAGCATAGACCAAAACCTGGAGACCCTGCACCCATGTGGGAGACCTGGAAGAAGCTCCTGGCTTTGGACTGGCTTAGCACCATCCGTTGTAGCCATTTGGGGAGTGAACCAGTGGATAGAAAATCTTTTCTCTCTCTCCTTCTTTAATTGTGATCTGCCATTTCCCATAAAAACAAGCAAACAAATAAATAAATATGTATTGGAAACAAGGCAGCAGGTGATGCGCTAACTGCCTGGGTTTTTGCCAGCCACGTCAGGGGACATGGACGATGACTTCAGCCTTGCCCAACTTGGACTACTGCGGGCATTGAGCAATCAACCAGCAGATGAAAGACCTTTCTGCCTCACCTTTTTTCAAATAAATCTAAAAAAAAAAAATTTATTGTATTAATAAATATTCAGAATGGAACAAAGGAGGGAAATAGGCAAAATAAAAAAAACTAGAGAATATGGTTGAACACAGTTAATTAGTCTGGATTATAACAAAAGCACTATTTTATCTTTGCACAATGATAATGTCCAGCTATAGCCAAGTTATCTGAAAGTCAGCTTTCCACATCAAACAACTTCTTCAGATCATTAGCTTTTCTACGTCAAATATTTCCCTGCAGTTCAACAAGATCTACTGTTAACTCCAAAGCAGCATTACTACACACAGTCTAATGATACATAGGCCCATATCCTAGGAGTAACCCACAGCAAAAACGGCATTCTAATATAATGCTGACAGAAGTAGAAACTGATAACTTAGTGATATATACAAAAATTTATAAATGCATAAATTCTCTGATCTAAATTTCTCACTTCTAAGAAGTTGTCTTATAAATAAGCTTGAAAACATCTGCCATGATATTTCACAAAGTGCTGGAGCATCACTTAAAACAGTATGTTTTTAAAAAACAATGATTTAAAGACTGATTAAAGTATAATATTTACACATGACAGGTGATGCAGCCTCAAAAATACAAACGCAACCTCTCCTTCTTCTTATATATAATCATATATTATACTAAAAATATCATGGGGCCAGGATGGTGGCTCAACTGGGTAACCTTCAAGCTGTAAATGCCAGTATCTCCATGGGCACCAGTCCGTGTTCCAAATATTCCACTTAAAGCCATGGGACCCTGCACCCAAGTGGGAAATCCAGAAGAAGTTCTAGCTCCTAGTTCCTAGCTTCAAATCAGCTCAGTTCTGGCCACTGCAGCCATTTGGAAACTGAACCTTCTCTCTTCGTAAAATCTGCCTTTCAACAAAAAATAAACAAATCTTAAAAAGATTAAATTTTTATCAATGTATAACCTGTACAAAAAAATATAGACAGTATTCCAGATTCATACATCTTCGTTGAGATTATACTGAAATTAAACAATACAGATTATTATAAAAACCTTTGACATTCCTTCTACTAAAACATTCACCAATCTATAACTAAATGTATTATTACATAGACACAGAACATAGAATCAGAATGATCTTTGGGAACCTCTAAATTTTCATCTGTTACCCACAGAACACAATTACTAAAAGGCAAAGCACAGCCCAGAGCCTGACTCCAATTCCAATCTATTGTCACCTATTTCTACCTCCAGAGTGCAGCCCAGGTCCTGGCTGCATTTGGAGGGTAAAAACAATGACAAGGCTAGTGGGAAATGACATCCTTTCTCTGTGAGACACTTTCCAGTGCTCACAAAAGAATGATAAGGTTTGGACCTGGCGTGGTGACTCAGTGGCTAAATCCTCTCCCTTACATATGCCGGGATCCCATATGTGTGCCAGTTCATGTCCTGGCTGCTCTATTTCCCATCTAGCTCCCTGCCTGTGGTCTCGTTGGGCAGTGGAGAACGGCCCACAGCCTTACAATTCTGCGCCTGTGTGGAAGGAGCCCATGCTCCTGACTTTGGATCAGCTCAGCTCCAGCCGCTGCAGTCACAGGGGAGTAAACCAGTGGACAGAAGAGCTTTCTCTCTGCATTTCCTCCTCTCTCTAAGTCTGTCTTTCCAATAGAAATGAATAAATTAAAAAAAAAAAAAAAGGAGAGAGAGAATGATATGGGTCTTCCTTTTCATGTGGATTTTTAGTTCAGTGCTAACAGTAGCTAAAGCCACTGAATAAACATTCAGTGGGGGAGTGAGGCTTCCGACAGTCAATTATACAAAATAGTCAGAAAAAATGTTAAGCAATTTAACAGGTAATTAAAAATTATGAGCAAATACAAATATATTGCAGCACCGAATATCTGATTTTATAAGAATACTTAAAGCAAACAAGAGAATTTCAAAGTTTTCTGCTGCTTCTGATTCAGTGTGATCCAAAGTAGAAGAAGCACAGTATACACATCCAATCTTTTAAACTTCTACGAGCACAGAGTAACAGTTAGACAGACACAAGGATACCACCCATTCCTGCCATTGCACGTCCTGGGCACAGCACTTCAGTTTCTTCAAGTCAGTATGACTTACCTTGTCATTTCATTACAAGGATCAGATAATACATGTTACACAAACTGCCTAGACTCTAGACAGACAGTGGCAAGCCATGACTGCTATTACCGCCATCAGAATCCTGCTGGACTGACTTTCCAACCATCCATTTAGCTTCAACTTGAAAAAATAGGATAAGGCAGGGAAGCAGTAATTTATAAACCCCATCAACTAGGCGAATAGGATAAACATCAACAAAATAAACAGCTTATTATACTCACATATTTCATTTCAAACTTCTTAGCCAACATTTCCACTTCTTGCCTCTCCTGGTGTTCATCATTAAATGGGTCTTCTGTATGAATGAGCTTCTTCTGATTCAAAATGAATGAGAAAAGAAATAGAACCATTATTACTACTTGAATTTTTACTGTTAACACAATCCTTCCACTGTGTCTGCATATAATCCCATTACATGAGTTACTTCAAGAAGTTCATGGAAAAGTTCACATGACTCTAAAAAAAGATTTAGCGGGATGGTGTCATGGTTCCACAGGTTAATCTTCCACCTGCAAGCACTGGCATCCCATCTGGGACTGTTCCACTCCCCATCCAGCTCCCTGTTTCTGGCCTGGCAAAGCAGTGGAGGATGGCCCAAAGCCTTGTGCCCCTGAACCAAGATGGGAGACCCAGATGAAGCTCCTGGATGCTGGTGTCAGATCAGCTCAGCGCTGGCTGTCACAGCCATTTCAGAAGTGAATCAGCAGATGGGTGATTCTGTCTCTCCTTCTCTCTGTAAATCTGCCTTTCCAGTAAAAATAAATAAATCATTAAAAATATAGATTATTTATTTGAAAGGCAGAGCAAGAGAGAAAAGAGAGAGGAGATAGGGAAAGATAAGGACAGAGAGGAGACTGATCTTCTGTCCTCTGGTTTATTCTTCAAACGGCTGCAAGCACCCACTGCTAGACCAGGCCAAAGCCAGTCTGAACTGCGTCCAGGTCTCCCACAAGTGTGGCTGGGGCCCCAGTACCTGAGCCACCTTTCACTGCTTTCCCAAGGCCTATTAGCAAGGCAGCAGGTACTCCAACATGGGATGCTGGCTGCCTTGCAAGCGCTGGCTTAACCCACTTTTAATTCCATTTGCCTTTAACTTTTTGATATACCTTCATATTATTCAGGATTTATTTACTCCTTAAGTGTAATTAATAATGAGAGTCAAATTTTCCTAATATGAATAACTAAATCAGAAGCATTAACTATAAAGTGAACATTTGGAATGATGGTTAAGATGTTATTCCTACATCTTATACTAGAGTGTCTGGGTTCAAGTCCCAGCTGCTCCCAATCCCAGCTTCCTGCTCATGTACTCACTGGGAGGGCATCCCTATCACCCACATGGGAGAGTCAGGTTGAGTTCCTTTCTCTTAGCTTCAGCCTGGCCCAACCTTGGCCCTTGCAGCCACTAAAGAAAGGAACCGGTGGATGGACCTCTCTCCATTTCCCTCTTCCTCTCTCCTTGCCTCATTTTCCGTGACTTTGCCTTGCAAAGAAATATTTTTTAAAGAATACAGGTTCGGGTCCACTGCGATAGTCTACTAGCTAAATTCTCAGCTTGCATCCGCCAGGATCTCAGGCATGTGCTGGTTTGTATCCCAGCTGCTTCACTTTCCACTCAGCTCCCTGCTTGTGGCCTCATTGGATAGTGGAGGATGGCTAAACCCTTGGAACCCTGTACCCACATTGGAGACCCAGAAGAGCTCCTGGGTCCTGGCTTCGAACAGTTCAGCACGAGCCACTGTGGCCACTTGGGGAGTGAACCATGGATGCAAGATCTTTCTCTCTTTCTCTCCTGCTCTCTGTATATCTGACTTTCCAATACAAATCTTTTTAAAATAAAAATACAGGTTCAGGGAGTTGGCGTTATGGTCCAGTGAGTGAAACAGCCACCCGAGACACCAGCATCCCATTTGGGCTGCTCCACTTCCAACTCAGCTTCCTTTCAACGTACCTGACAAAGCAGCAAAAGGAAACCTGAATGCTTGGGCCCCTGAAGCCCTGTGGCAGACAAGGAAGAAATGGCTGGCTTCTGGCTCCTTGCAGCCATTAGGCAAATGAACCAGTGGATTAAAGAGCTCTGTGTCTGTCCCTCACTTTGTAACTCTGGCTTTCAAATAAATGTTATTTTTTTTTTAAAAAAGGACTTATTTATGTTTATTGAAAACGCAGATGCACAGGAGACAGAGAGGAACATCTTTCGTTCACTGATTCATTCCCCAAGCGGCTGCAACAGCCAGAGCTGAGCCTATCTGAAGCCAGGGGCTTGGAACCTCTTCCAGGTCTCCCATACAGGCGCAGAGTCCCAAGGCTTTGGGTCATCCTCGACTGCTGTCCCAGGCCACAAGCAGGGAGCTGGATGGGAAGAGGGGCTGCTGGGATATGAACCAGCACCCCTATGGGATCCCGGCAAGTGCAAGGCAAGGACATGAGCCACTAGGCTACCACACTGGGCCTGTAATGTTATTTTTAAACCGCAAGTTCATAGCAAAAAGTGTCGGTAATGTTCATGGCAACATACAGGAACTCAACAATTCAAAATTGTTCACCTGTAAAATGATCGAATGGTCACCCCATCCAAAACCTCAAGGCAAGCAACTCCCACAAACACTATATAAAAAAGAAATGCCCATATGTAATTCTGATTAGATATCTTTCTTAAAAAATATTAACTACTTTGGTCAACAAATGCTTCTAAAAGGATGCACAGTTTATTAGTCACACTTTATCAGCTGCTTTAGAGTTGAACCTCTGCAGCTACTGTAGCTTTGTGCTGAGACGCAGTATCAATCACTTCTCTATCATCTATGGCCTGCCAATGGACATCCACTCAGAGTATGCGTACTACATTTACCATGGGGCCACTGTGACTAGGCAGGTAAATTCTCCTATGAGGACCAGTGACTATCCGGGCTGCTCTACTTCCAATCCAGCTCTCTGCTAACAGCCCAAGAAAAGCATCAGAAGATGGCCCGAGTCCTTGGATCCCCCACCCTTACGAGAGCCATCAGATGAAGCTCATGGCCCCTGCTTTCTCCTGGCTGGTGTCATCGTATCAGGACAGAACAGTGGATGAAGTATCTCTGTGACTCTTTCAAGCAAATAAAAAGAAATCTTAAACACACACTTACATACACATATATATACCGAGCCAGGGTCCTACATTTGCCATCTATTTACCAAAACAAACAAGTATATTATTTTGCTCAAGTACAATACTTTACATAAACACACCTACATCTATGCATGTTTTTCAATACACAAAGGTCAAAGCAAGGAGCCGCTTTATTTTTATCCAATTTCAGCTGCATAGAAAGTAAATTTTTTAAAAGCCTAGGGGCAGACACTCTGCCATAGTGAGTAAAGCTGCCATCTGCAGTGCCAGCATGTGGCACAGTGAGCTAAATTACCACCCCATCAGTCAGGAATCCCATATAAATGCCAGTTCCAGTCCTGGCTGCTCCACTTCTGACCCTGTTCCCTGCTGATTTGCCTGGGAGAGCAGCAGAAGATGACCCAAGTGCTTGGGCCCTCTCTCTCTCTCTGTGACTTTCAAATAAATAAAACTTAAGGAAAAAGCCAGGGAAAAAAGGGAGGCCTAGATGTTTTTACTTAAGCAGTATCCTTGGGTCCGGCACAGTAGCGTTAACAGCTAAAGTCCTTGCCTTGCATGTGCCAGGATCCCATATAGGTGCTGGTTCATATCCTAGCTACTCCTCTTCCCTTCCAGCTCCCTGCTTGTGGCCTGGGAAAGCAGTCGAGGATGACCCAAAGCCGTGGGACCCTGCACCTGTGTGGGAGACCTGGAAGAAGTTCCTGGCTCTTGGCTTCGGACTGGTGCAGCACCAGCCATTGTGGCCGCTTGGGGAGTGAACCAGTGGACAGAAGATCTTCCTGTCTCTCCTCCTCTCTGTATGTCTGCCTTTCCAATAAAAATAAATAAATCTTTAAAAAGAAAGGAAGTATCCTCAAGTAATTGAAAGCATAAGTTTTCACAAATGAAAATCTGAGCAGAGACCTGACTGGCCTTGAAGGGTGAGAAAAAAACAAGAGGAGATGAAGATTTGCATTTTGTAGATGAGGCAACTCATGCCGGATATACAGGCTGATCTGAGCAGTGTAAAACACAGGAAGGGAAAATATGAAGCTAATGAAAACAAAATCTTTCATTATAGCTGTGACTTTAGAATGAAAGGGATACTTAAAGGAAATAATCTGAGTCCATTTTTAAACTACTGTCAGTAATAAATTCATAGAATCCCTTATCCAAATAGGAGTTATCAATGAAAAATATAAATCTGTTCCAAAAGAAAATAAACCAGCAAAAGGAGCTAGATAACAGCAAGTAACCCCCAGGCTGTGATTACAAACCGTGTTCTCATATCACCACGAAGTCCAAGTAACAGGTTTGTTTCGTTTTGTATGTAAAGATACAAACATATGCATCTTTAATTTTTAAAATAAAAATCACTTTTACATGCCATTCTAAGAGATTTTATGTGCTTCACACAGGCATCAAAAGTTTGACTGACAGTGTATACATAATTTTTTAAGCTGACTCGTTTTTCATTTACACTTAACCCCCATCCCCACTCCATCCCCTGGCTTTGTGGTACAGCAGTTAAGTTGCCACTCCAAGGCAAGCATCCCATTAGCTGGGGGGCAGTTTGAATTCCAGTTGCTTTGCTTCTAATCCACTTCCTGCCGGGCACCTGGGAAGCCAGCTGGTGATGGTTGGAGCCCCTGAAGTTGAGTCCATCAGCTTAGGTGCAGAACCAGCTGAAATTCCTGGCTCCAGGGCCTGACCCAGCCCTGGCTAGGGTGGCTCATTTGAGGGGGTGAACCGGCAGATGAAAATCTCTTTGTCATGCTTTGTTTCAAACAAACGAATTTTTTTTTAAAAAAAAGGTTTATTTATTTTTATTACAAAGTTAGATATACAGAGAGGAGGAGAAAGAGGAAGATCTTCTGTCCACTGATTCACTCCCCAGGTGACCGCAATGGCCGGTGCTGTGCCAAACCGAAGCCAGGAGCCAGGAATTTCCTCCAGGTCTCCCACGCAGGTGCGGGGTCCCAGGCTTTGGGTCATCCTCGACTGCTTTCCCAGGCCACAAGCAGCATCGGAAGAGGAGTAGCCAGGATTAGAACCAGCACCCATATGGGATCTTGGCGCATTCAAGGCAAGGAATTTGGCCGCTAGACCATCGTGCTGGGCCCACAACAAATGAATCTTGACCTCCCCCGCACCCCACCACCACCACCACCACCACCAGAACTCTCAGATTAAAACTAAGAGTCTTTACATTTCTTAAAGCTGCTTGCTTTAACAATGAAAATTCTGAAAATCATCAACCATATGGAAAACTGATGCAATAATTTTGTCCTGTGATCTTAACTCAATAACACCACCAAGTCACCTTTCATACTTAACTCAAAATACACAACATGACAAGAAATGGAATGCTGCAGCATCCTGAAGAATAGTTACACCAACACCAGAATTACTTATTTCTCTTATCACAATACAGCTTCAATAAATCATGTTCACAAATGGGTTTTAGTTAACTGATTTTCTGGTTTACTGAGTCAATAAAAGTCTTTCTTTCCCCTTGTTTATTAATCACCACTAAAATGTTCTGTTATTCCTTAGTCAGAAATGGTGAACAAATTCATCTTTTCCTGATAGCGGTGACTCTGGGGCGTCAGCCATCTTTCTGAACATCTCAGCAACTGCACTGCATGGCCAGAGATAACAAGGTTGAGGATTGAGGTAACCTGCGTCCCGACACCCTGGAAGCCTGCTCTTTTTCATTTCACAAATATATGCTTCCTTAACTGTGGCTTTTGTTTTGGTTGTTATTTTTTTTTAAAAAGATTTATTTATTTTTATTGGTAAGGCAGATATACAGAGAGGAGGAAAAACAGAGAAAGATCTTCAGTCTGCTGATTCACTAGTGACCCTAATGGCCAGCACTGCGCTAATCTGAAGCCAGGAGCCAGGAGCCACTTTCGGGTCTCCCACGTGGGTAGGTCCCAGGGCTTTGGGTAATACTGGACTGCTTTCCCAGGCCACAAGCAGGGAGCTGGATGGGAAGTGGAGCTGCTGGGATTAGAACCAGCACCCATATGGGATCCCAGCATGTTCAAGGGAAGGAGTTCAGCCACTAGGCTATGGCACTGGGCCCAGGCTGTTTTTCTTAACCAGTAAAAAAGAGTAGAATAAATTCTGATTGCTAATTAGGGTTTAAAGGAGCTGATTTAAATGCACCCCAATGGAAAAGGTGCTAACACATAACACAGCACCGTTTACCAACGCTCCACACTATAGCTAAAATCTCATTCAGTGATAGCTACCTGGAATATATGAAGATGTTTTTCTTCTAATATGATAAGATCTCTTCTCCAACTTTATATTTTCAGTCTGTTACAAGACACCGTTCAATTACAAGTAATTTACTTTGAATTCTTTTTAAAGCATTACACCCCTAAAAATAAACAGTTTCTTCAAGGGAAAGGAAAGGAAAAACCAAATTTGGAAACCATCAGTGTCTAGCCAATTCTAATATCAACATACTGCTCTGGTAGTCTCTCCTCCAGGATTACCTTTCACAGAACCATGCCAATTTTACTTAACAAGGTATTTTCCTAGTTTTTTGTAGGCAAATCTGGCAATCTTTGTTGCAAAGGGGTACTGTCTAAAACAACTTTGTTTCTTTGTTCAGTAGAGTTCTTACAAGATATACAAGCTGTACAAACAGCGATAGAACTGGACAAACCCCTGAAATGGACAGCATGTAGAAAGCAGTGGAATCATCCATCTTCTATAAATAAATCAAACTACAGTCGGGCACTTCCTGAGGACATTTCGTCAATGACAGATCCATTCATGATGGCATACACCATATGGTTTGTGGAAGAATACTCTATCTGCATGACAGGGTATCTCTCAGAAATCAGCCCGTCATGAGGTGATACGTTATGAAACTCGGGAAAAAAAGTTATTCTGCGTTTTTCTATAATTAAAATATGCATTAATTAATAATGACATCGCATTACACCATACAGTATCATCACAGAAGCCTCTGTATCACTAAATGAGTGATTTTACTTTGGCTGGATTCTCCAAATGTAAGCTACATAAGTTAATTATAAAAGTACCAAGAATTGGTACAATTGTGCAAAAAGGTACTGACCATGCAGTGCTTAGAACTGTATGCAGCACATAGTACAAACTCAGTAACGGTAGTGGTTCTGCTGTTCTTATCCAAAGATACTGCTTCTCACCTGTAATTGATGAAAATTACAAGCACTACACCCCTACTTAAATTAGCAGGTCAAATATAACTTTTGTTTAAAAGCACTGCAATCCATTATTTTCAATATTCTTCCGGGAAGAACATTTATAAACAAGACGGCTTTAAGTAAGTCTAAAGGGCAAAAATGTTACCTGGAAGCTACCAAAATGGTCTCTATACTCAACAATCCATTCTCCTGGAATCACTTAAAGACTTGACCATGTAACAATATTTCTAATCATCAGAATACCTAACCATAAAATAAAATCTAGCAACAGTTTAATAATGTGATACTTGATACTTTGTGACTAAGAAGTTACTGCAACCTAATTCATAGACGGCTGAGGGTCAAAGAAAACAAGGGCCCTTTGCAGCCTATTCCAGCTACGCTAGAGCAAAAGCTAAAGCAGAGCGTTATCAATCAAAGGCCGAACATCGTTCTCCTTTTACTGTCACCGTATCACTGCCCTCTCCAACTTAATTCCAAAGCTTACCAACTCACAAACATTACAATCACCAAGAAGCCCCGTCTTATCCCTATTGTTCACAGTCCCTCGAAAGGCATACCTCTATATTTTCAGTAAAGTTTTTAAATATTGAAAACTAAGGTCTCTTTCATCACTCCGCAAAAAAACTGCAACGGCCAAATACCATCTGCCTACTTGGACCTAGAAACGAACGCTCTACACTCGGATTAGAATATGATGGGTGAGACGCCAAATAAAGCTGACGAGACACCTCCCCGGTTCCATTACAATATGAACAAACTCGGCAGAAAAGCAAGCTAACCATGTTTACCCACACCAACGCGAGAAAGAAAAACAGGCAGACATATCACTAACTCATCAACCTACCCCTCCATTCCTAAACAGGACTCCCTTCGTCCCTGCAAATGTTTAATTACTCTTAAACGCCTTTCAAATTCAGAAAAACACCACAGGCATGCAAACACCTCTAACTGCAGCCACGGCGCCCCGCAAAATAGCGACTAGGACGAAGGCAGGAGAGGGGTTCACGATCGGCTTCAAACCGGGGGCGTGTCCCCCCGGCTTCCCTTCTTCTCTCTCCAGGAACCGGGGCTGGAGCTCCACAGCGATCCAGCCGAGGGGGTGGTAGGGCCCCGAGACTCGGTGTGAAGAAAGGAAAGCAAAGGAGACGAGATTTCGAAAGGTGCGAAGGCAAACAGGCTCGGCGCCGGCTAGGTCCTCTCAATCCACCACCGCCCTCCCCGGAGCGCTCCCCCGCCGCCCGTCCACCCGCTCGGCCCCCCGGCCTCTCCATCCCACCCTCGGGGGACCCCCGGGACGCGCCGGGTGGGCGTCCCCGAAGGTGCAAACCAGCTGAGGGAGAGGCGTCGGGTCCGGAGGTTCCCCCGGCTCTGGGGCAGGAGGGAGGAATCTTCCTGTACCCGTTGTTCTCCGCACAGCAGCAGCTCCGGATAACTGAACTCCACGCAGCTCTCGTCCGTGGGGTCCTTGAGCACCAGCTCCAGGCGCACCGTCTCCCGCGGCGGCCGCGGCGACGGTTCGGCTCCCCGGACCGAGTCCCGCGGCGGGGCTGGCTGCAAGGGCAGCTGTGGGAGCGGCGGCGGCGGCGGCTCCGGCCGCGGGGGCTCCCTCTGCAGCGCCATGGGCGGCTCGGCGCGGCTGCCCTCGCGCTGGGGGAGCGGCTTCTCCCGCGCCGGGGGCTGCTGCTGCTGCTGCTGCTGCGCGTCCGAGCGGGGGGCCGGCTCCCGGGGGGCCGACGACGGCTCGGGTCGGGCCAGCTCCAGCCGGGGGGCTTCACGGGGGTAGTCGGGCTCACGCTCGGGCAGCGGGTACTCGGCCTCGCGCCGCCTCACCGGTGACAGGCTAATGAACGCTACTCTGCGCGGCTCCGCCATCCCCACTGTTGTGGCCCTCGGCTTTCGCTCGAGCCGAAGCTAGCTTCTGCGCCGCGCTGCCTTGTCTCTGCCCGCCGCCCTCCCTTTTGCGCTTCGTCGCTTGGATGCCCTCCGCCACCCTCGGCCGTCTCCGCCGACGCCACCGTGGGTGCGGACCGTGCCCCCTTCCCCGCTACTATGTTCTGATGGGCTCCACCGCCATCGCCAGGGTCGCCGCAGCCGCCATGTTGGATCCCCCACATAAATAGAAGCAGGCCGCTGAGCGGGCGCATGCGCAGAGAGGAGACGCTCGCGTTCACCGTCGTGGCTGTTGCTCAGTTTTCCTCTTTTCCTCCCAACAGCCTGGAGTCGGGACAGGTCGGCGGAAGTGACGTCATGACACGGCCCGTTTCCCTGGAAACGGAGACGCTATCTGCGCTCTGTCTCACTAGGGGAGGGGGGGAGATTGGGGTTTCCCAAGGAGCTTCCTATTCGCACCCGGAAACCGGAGACGCGTTCTGGGCTCGGAGAAGGGGGACAGAATCTGGGATGTGCGGAGGACGGATCCGGCCATGGCGCCGGGTTCCGCCCGCCGCTTGCCTTGGGCTCGAAGTGGTTATTCCAGAAAGACAGGGAGGGAAAGTGGAGGGACTCGGGGGACCAGCCTCCGTGTGGCTGCTGGCCCAGAGGCCGGCGCAGCCCGAAGGACAGAGGGAAAAAAGGAGGCGGCTGCAGCCGCCCTGGCCCCAAAGGCGTCCCTAGGAAAGCACGATGGTGTCTCACACGAGCCTCGCGTCGTCCGCAAGCTCCTCTCCTCACCTGGCCGTCTTGAGCAGGCCGCGGGACTCGACAATGCTTTCAAGTTGAAAGATGACATCTGAAGCGTGTAAATTGGCTAGAGAGGTCTACTCCTAACGAGATGATCTTAGAGTATGAACAAACATTGTGTAACGCTTAAAACACAACACACACACACACACACCATTTGGCTATCTAAAAAAAAAAAGCAATGAACAAGGTTGTAGCTCATTTTGTTTTTAAAGCTCAAACTGTGAGACTCAATTATAAAAGGTGGAGAAAGAGGGTTTGTTGGGGAACTCGGGTAGAAAGATCCCTTTCAAGGTGGAGGAGGAGCGTTGACCAGCCACACCTGGGACAGGCTGATGGGAATTCGGATTTCAAAGGATGCCTGCGATTCACTGGCGTTTTACTCCTTTACTAGAGAGTAAATTTTAAGCGTTCGTCCCCCACATCTTGAAGACAAATCAAATCTGCCACTCATTGCATTATTAACTGGATTACCAATTTCAGGATCTTTGTGTTGGTATGACGCCAGCCAGTTTTCAGTTTTTTGTTCTATTGTCTTTCCCACTGCAGGAATGTGGTGACTGAATTGATCCCAGAGGTCTCCCACGCTACTAGAATCTTGTCATTTTCCCGTGTTTTTCCTCCGTACTGATTGAGTCCTGCCTGGTTTTTGCATTGTCTCTGGGGGATTCTCTGGGACTCTTCCTCTCTTGCTACTGAACAGACTTTACCGTGATATTCTCTATCCTGCCTACAGCTACCCTACAGAGTAAATGCTATACTTAGTATCCAGTACCCACTAGGATTTGGCTGAAACTGCGAGCAGGTGGTCCTGTAGCTGCAATGGAGCTGCTTATTTACCTGACATCTCATTTCTGACATAGTGGATGTGGGTATGACTTCGTAAACCACACTCAGGGTAGCAAATAGTTAGCATTGTAAACTAGTGCAGGGCCCACGCAGGTGCCTCTCTGAACTGCAACTCTCCTAACACTAAACCGGAATGAAGTAAAAACAAAGTTACCTAAAGCATTTTGTAATACCACATAGAAACAAACTAAGAAAACAGGGGGCCAGCTGACGGTGTGAGTGTTGGTTGTAGTTCTGTGCGCTCTGCTTCCAGTGCAGCGTTTGCACTTGCTTCCTGGGAAAGCGGCACAAGATGACCAAAGCGCCTGAGTCCCTGCCACCGTGGGCAACACCAGAACAGAGTCAGGTTCCTCGCTTCTGCCTTTGAACGGGCAAAGGAGAGTCTTTCTCATCCTTATCTCCGCTCCCTCCATTGCTCTTTCTTCCAAGTAAGCAAATAAATATTTCTAGGAAAAGGAAAATTAGAAAGAATATTAAGCACAAGGCCATATTACATGCATATCTGACCCACTTGTGAATTTGAGCTTTCCCCCATTCCTCGACTCTTCTAGTCCTAATCAGTGGTCCACATGGGCATATATCCTTCTCAACTATGTAAACACCATCAAAAATAAAATAAATTTATTATTATTTTTAAAAAGTGAGCAGCCAGTATTCCAACTGGTGACCAACATGGGATGCTAAGTAGCAGGTTAATTCGTCACACTACTCCAGGCCCAGTTATACTAGCTTTGTCTTTTTAAATTCCAATGATCCCTTTTGTAAACTCTGGATAGAATATTAAGTCACTTTCGTGTATATTAATAGGAGTGTTAAAGAACTTCTCCTTTGGGTTTTACATCTGATATGGTTTAGATTTTCTCTTTTACTCTACGGTTAATAGGGTTTTATTCTAGATTTTTTTCTGTTATTTTTAGGTGGCAAGATGCTTCATTATTATTCATGGCAATATGATTAGAAAATATCTGCAATGGTTCTTTTTTTTTTAAAGATTTATTTTTATTATTTTTTCATTGGAAAGGCAGATATACAGAGAGGAGAGACAGAGAGGAAGATCTTCCATCCAATGATTCACTCCCCAAGTGAGCGCAATGGCCGATACTATGCCGATCCGGAGCCAGGAGCCTCTTCCAGGTCTCCCACGTGGGTGCAGGGTCCCAAAGCTTTGGGCCGTCCTCGACTGCTTTCCCAGGCCACAGGCAGGGAGCTGGAAGGGAAGCAGGGCTGCCGGGATAGAATCGGCACCCATATGGGATCCTGGGGCGTGCAAGGCGAGGACCTTAACCACTAGGCCACCGTGCCGGGCCCGATGGTTCTTTTTTAAGATTTGTTTTAGGGCCCGGTGTGGTGGCCTAGCAGCTGAAATCCTCACCTTGGACACGCCCAGGATCCCATAGAGGCTACTGGTTCTAATCCCAGCAGCCCCACTTCCCATCCAGCTCCCTGCTTGTGGCCTAGGAAAGCAGTTGAGGACAGACCCAAGACCCTGCACCAGTGTGGGAGACCCAGAACAAGTTCCTGGCTCCTCGCTTCAGATCAGCTCAGCTCCAGCTGTTGTGGCCCTTTGGGGAGTGAATCAACGAACAGAAATCATTGTCTCTCTTCTCTGTGTATCTGACTTTCCCATTAAAAAAAAATCTTAAAAAAAAAAAAAAAACCTTTATCAGCATGTACTCGCTTCATCCAGGACCTAAAAGAAGGGGACACCATTGACAATATGGATATTGAGTTCCATGTGGAACCTATGGAGGTATCATGAAATTCCCAGGTGGCTTCACAGCTAGGGTGGCACCACCCATTGCCTCCTAAAAGAAATAACCAGTGGGACAGGTACCAGACTACAGATTCCCACTCTATCTCCCCTCTTCTTTCCTCTTCCCCTCTGATGATCCTCTCGATCCCTGCCCACGGATGAGGCACATTTCTGTGTTTGTGGGGCCACCCATGCTCGCCCATGTATGTCTATTCACTTCCTCGCCTTTTGATTAACTTTTATTATCCCTTTTGCATCTTGCATGTGTCTGTGGCTGAGAAAAGAGCCTGGTTCAAAAATTAATACAGCCTAGCCCGTATCACTTAGCATTGGCTTTGTGATCTTGCCACAGTAATGGGAGCATCTTGTGTCTTCAAAGTGGGAACAACAGTAGTAAACATACGTGTTAATGTTGTGGCTGCAGTTAACTAAATTAAGATTCATGAAGTGCTTAGAAGAATCAAAATAAATAAATTTAAAAAAAAAAAAAAAGAGGAGCCAGTATTTAGTAAGCACTTGGATGAGTGTTTAATGCTAATTCCTCTGTGAGCTAATATATAGTTGTCGTTGCTTTTTGGTTTGGTTTGGTTTTATAAGGCACAGAGAGATAAAGCAAGCTCTCTTCTACTGATTGACTTCCCACCTGCCCAGGCCTGCCTGGGCTGGGCCAAACCAAAGTGGGAGCCCAGAACTCAATGTAGGTTTGCTGTGTGGGTGGCCGATGCCCCGTCACTGCTACCCCCAGGGACTTCATTCACTGGGGTTTGGAGTTAAAAGCCAGAACCAAGCATTGAACCTGGTTACCTAGTTGTGAGACATGGATACCTTTCAAAATAATAATAAATGTTGTTTATTTTTGTTAGAAAGTCGAATTTCCAGAGAGAAGGAGAAAGATCTTTCATCTGTTGGTTCACTCACCAAATAGCCTGAACAGGTACAGCTGAGCTGATCTGAAGCCAGGAGCCAAGAGCTTCTTCCAGGTTTCCCACACAAGTGCAGGGTCCTAAGGTTTTGGATCATCATACACTGCTTACTAGGCCACAAGCAGAGAGCTAGATGAGAAGTGGAGCAGC